AATTGAAGTAACATTATCATGACTTTTGTTGTTGAAGATTGGATGACAACTTATATTAGGATTGTAAGATGTTATTTTTTGTAGAATACATGCTGAATTTGAGTCATCTGTCAAACGGTTTCTAAGCAATTAATTATTTTTGCTGTGGCTCACTTTTTTTGACAAGAGGGTTTGTGATTTGTTTCAAATTATCGTTTTACAGACGATGTTCTGCATACCACTATTTCAGAACATAAAACACACACCACTTTGTCGCCTTTACTAATAATGCTATGTTTCTTGGTCCACCAAATTTGAAATTCTCTGTTACACTTATTATCTTGAACTTTTTGCTCTTTTGCTGAACTAGCCATGTTAAATTACAGTTAAAAAACGTAAATCTAACACTGATAAACTTTAAAATACAGTTGTGTCAATGAAATTGACTATGCTATGCGTAGACAAACTTTACATAAAAATTGTAGTCTGCAACGTAAATAAGGCAAGATGATAACAAATGAGTGTATTCCCCGCCGCCCCGTGACCGATCAGTTGCATTTGTTCATAATACTTCATAGTGAACATTGAAATTTTGAAATAAAATGCAAACCATTTTGATTACTGGCATGCCAAAAATATTGTGTCACGTGCCATCAATGGCACAGTGTGCCACTGGTTTGCCATCCCTGGTCTATGGTGAGCACTGCTTAGTTCAAACAATTGATGCAAAAGTTTTCATGAAGGGTGGCAAACAATATCAGATCTCCATGCCAATGCTACCCCAAACATCTCCTGAGAAATCCAGATAAACTTAAAAAAATTCAGTTGAAAAGTGTTGGAACACCACTTATATGCATTACAGATTTGTCTCCCTGAAACCTTCGACACTTTTTTCATTTGAGAGAGCATTGCATTTCCATTCGGATGATGAAGTGAAGGAAGCTATGCAGGACTTCCTCTAGAATCAATGACGATCTTTCTACTGCAAAAGTATAGGCCTTCCATTAAGACGATGCGACCTGTGTTACAACGCCCATGGCGATTTATTTTGATTTCCAATAAAGGTATTCTTTTTATTCAACTTGTCTACTTTTCATTTGGACAACTCTTATATTAACTATTATTATAATTTTACTTTTTTAAGACTATACATTATATTTTATAAAACAAAATAATGTTGTTTTGTAAATATTTTTATAATTACAGATAATTGCAGACCTGAATGGGAAAAGTATGCACCCCCATTAGAACCACGAACATTATTTGTTTTAGTAGAGGGTTTATTATATTCTCCAAAATTGCAAGTATGCTTTTTTCTCCTCAAATTTTATAAACTTCAAATTTTTATCCTTAAATGGAATGTTAAATTAGATTAATTCATTAACCTGTGCTGTGAAAAAAAAAATGTAATTTTTTTAAAAATAGGCTATTATACATATTTATCAAATACAGTGAAAATTGTTTAACATGAAACTCAAGGAACTGAAATATTTTTTCATGTAAAATGAAAGGATATTGCAACCTCTTCCCCCAAAGAAACATATATTCAACAAAATTATATGTATTAGAGTCAATTTCTTTTACGTAGTTATATATATATATATATTTAATAAAAATCTATGATACAAGAACATTCACAAGAACTTAATGCAATTTAATACAAACTTTTCAAGGTTTCGAAAAACTAAACATTTATTGAGTTTTTGGAAAATAATCTCATTTTTCTTTACATTGTCTTTTTTAGCATCAAATTGTTTGATGTCGTTCATTTTGTTATTTATTTTGTATTCTGTTTTTGATTAACAGCCTTAAGAAGCTCCATCTTCATTCTAAGCTAAATAGCCATATGCTTTCCCATTGAGCTCTTTGCCATTGTGCTCATAAAAAAATATTTCTAAAAGAGAAGAAAAAACACGAACCAGACTCACTGATTTTTACTCACACTGGAGGGTGAAAGTAGCTTAGATAAATAAAATTGGCTCATGTTATAGACTATTCCAAGGGTTTTTCAAAATCAAGTTGGTCTCCTTTCTAAGAAACGGGAAATCATTTTTCTTCCCTGCGTGGCTGATGTTTTCCACATTTTGTTCATTTCCAGATGGGAAATCTTTTTGTGTTAATCAATTTTCATTTCATGTTAAGAAGGGGAAAAAATGCATGCAAATGCATAGTAGTTTGTCGGAACCATTGTATATATTATTTAGTGTTAACTGATATTTCATTTGAAATGTTTTCACTCCAAACATATTTCACTGTATATGTCATGTGGGACTCAGAAATGTGATTAATCATGTAAAATTTTCCTTACTTTAAAAAAAAGTAATCAGTGTAAAAAAAATATTTTTTTAAAATATTGAATTAAATTTTGTGTCATTGAAATATGTTGTGTTAAATAATTTTAATGGATTCTTTTTATTAAAATTGAATTAAAAATGCTGTATTTAATGTATTTTTTTAAATATTTTTTCAAATTAGTAATTAATTTAATACTGTAAATTAGATAACTCAATATTTTTTTCCTGATAGATTGTTGTTAAAACTAGTATTAAACATTTATTTGTATTTGAAGTTGATATTTTGATTAAAATTCCACTTCAACTAAAACTTTGTAATGACATTTCAAAACATTTAAAATTTATTTAAGTGCTTTTTTTAGATGAGAAAATTTAATACTATTCATGGAATTCTCACTCTAGTATACTTTTTCTTTTTTAAGGTAATGTATAGTGATGATTTTGATGATCAATTAGAAGAAGCTATGAAGGATTATTTAGATTTTGCAGTTGATATTGAACTTAAGAAAGATAAAGTATGTTGTATTTTTAAGTATTTATTTAAAAATATTTTTTTTCCAAAACATTTCTCTTGATATGCTATCTAGTGTTTATGTGTGTGAATACTTTCTTAAAAATATTATTTCAAATTAAAAAATTGCAATAGGATTCTGCTCTTTCATACAATATTTCTCAAATTGTGACAAATGTATTTTTTAAAAAAGGATGAAGGATTTGAGGATGTTTGAATGTCTAATTTTGAAACGAAATTACTGGAGAATTTTTGAACTGTATAAAAAGTATCTTAAAACTTTTTTAAATATTAATAACATCATAGCAATTAAATAACTAAGAATAATTTAATCTATGTCTATTAAAACCTTAACATGAAATAAAAATTAATTTTCTATCAATAATTGTTACCTCTAAACTTGTTGGAAAGTATTGTTGAAAAATATGGTTGGATATTATAGTTATTAATATATATTAAACTATTTATCACTGTAAATTATAATTAATGTGTATTAAAAAATATTTGCAATAAACATACTCATTAGAGAGCAGCTCTCAATCATTATTATGTTGCTCACATTGTATTTTTTGAGCCTGAATAAATTTATGATTATCTGAAATTTAGAAAGCTGCTTTTATGTTTTATTTGTAATATTAAAAAAAAATTTCTCTCTTTGAAAAAGATAAAATAAGTTACAAATCCCCCCCTGAATTTGAGATTCTTTTAAGTATAATTTGCAATTATATAGTGCTGAATTTGGTATCTGTTGCATTATATTGCAGTGATCCGCAACCCCCGGTCTGTGGACCGGTACTGGTCCATGGACCAAATAGTGCCGTCGCACAAGGAATATTGAATTATTTTTATTTTATATACTGTGGCGTATTTCTCTTGGATTTTATGGTAATCATTTTATACACCATGGTAAATAACTTAATATTAATTTCTTGGCTTAACTGTATTTTATTCTGAAAGCCCATTTAAATACCATTAAACTAAAATTATTAAATAAAAGCAATCTAAAATATAAACAATCAAAGTCCCCTCCTTCAGCGGCGGTAAAATTAACTAACGTTGACCGGTCCGCGGGGATAGAAAGGTTGAGGAGCACTGTTATATTGCATTAAAGTTTTTAATTTTAATTTGCCCAAATATGCAGTAACTTATTTTTAAAGTTTCCTGTATTTACATCAGATAGTTTTTGGAGAAACAGTTCCATGAATATATGTATTTTAATTATATATTATATTGAAGGGAAATCATGCAATTCATTCTAAAAATTTTCATAATGTGTAATGTTAAATTTATATAAAAATTTTTTGTATTCGCTTAAGTCGAGATGAAATGTATTTACTATGATTTTTTTATGGACCTGTATTAAATTATTGTTAATATCCTAAATATGGTTCTTAAAAGAATATGTTTTTTTATAAAATAAAATTTTCTATTGTTAATATATTGTTGGTATTTGTAGCATTTTTTGTTGAAATGGCTTGAATGGCATTTCAGAATGAATAGGGTTCCTATAAACAAATAGTGAAATCATATTTTAAAAAATTAGTATAACTCACCCATCCATAAAATTTTTAGTTTAATGTACATACTTTTCAGATATTACTTATTTTATACTTTTGGATTTTAGTGATTTATATCTTATTTCTCCAGAGGATAATTATTTTTTAATTAATAATTTTCCTTGTAGCTTTCTATCCCAATATTATTAAGATGGTATTCTGAAGATTTTGCTGATGAGGATGTGGATGATTTAGAGAAGGCAAAAGATGAAGGATTGCTTAAATTATTATCTACTTCAGGCAGTCTTAAACTTGCTAATTTTCTTGATCGTTTTTTGTCTGAAGATTCTGGACACACATCCAATGAGAATATTGGTAAAAGAAAACTGTTTAATATGTATTCCTTTAAAATAATCTTTACAAGAATTATTTTTTAATAAAAAACATTGCTTCATTTTTCAATTCCTACTATTATTTCACACTCCCCTTATTTATATTTATTTATATATATATATCTTGTTCAAATTTTAAGTCATTAATAAAATACTTTTTATTCATCCACTCAAGCTCAAATACATTTTTTTAAACTTGTAGTGGATGGTACTTGATGTTATTAGTTTTTTCAAATAGTAATTCATTAATTGAATTATTAATGAATAAATAGTAACAAACAAAAATAATAGTCCAAAACCATATATAAAAAGGAAAATCGCTCGTTGTGTCCCTGTAGCGCAATGGATAGCGTGTTGGACTTCTAATTCAAAGGTTGTGGCTTCAAATTGCACCTGGGATGGCCTAATTTCTGAGAACGTGATTTCTTTTTATTATACAATTTTATTGGAATAATTAAATTTAATTAATGAATAAATAGCAACAAACAAAAATAATAGTCCAACACCGTATATAGAATGGAAAATTGTAAGGAAAATCGCTTTCTGCTACTTAATATTGTGATTCTGTCATATATATACATATTTATTAATTGTAATTATTTAATAAAAAATAACTAAAATAAAATATTTTCTTTGTTGACCTAAGTAGGAATTGACTTAAAAAGCATTTTTTTAATACTTGTTTAGTTGAGATTAAATAAATAACTTTAATTAATTAATTTTAAAACTGAAAATTGCATTGGTCAATTGAAAAATTTTGGTTTTATTTCAGATACTTCTGGAAAAACACAACGTTCTTTGACACTTGTATTCAATCCTCCTATATTATCTTGTGGGATTATTTTATCATATGCAGACTCTAACACTTTAACATTGGAAATTGATTCAGTGAAAGCTGCACCAGTCCTTGACACTCAGCCCTGTGTATTGAATTATTTAAAAGATAAATGCTCCATTCTCAATGATCTTTATGAAATATTTAGAAGTAAGTTAGTATCTGAATGTGTGTCAATTGAAAATCTGTGTTTGGAAGCCTCTGTGCAAACTCTGTTTTTATCTGAAGAATCCGAAAATCAAAATCCTGTTACTCTTTTGCTCTCATATTATAAAAAAATGCTTATTTCCACTAAAGATGAATATTCTTGGTTCTCATCAGCTTTAAGTCCTTCACCTGACAAGGGATTTTTAAGTGAACAGATTAAAACTTGTTTTTCAAAAAATGAATGGCATCGGGCTTTACTTTTTGTTGATTTGTATCTTGAATGTTTTGAAAAAGATGAAACTTATATTATTTTGAGAAAATTAATTTTAGAACATCTTGCTTCTGCTAATAAATTTATGAGCTCCATGGACCCATGTAATTATGCATTGTGCATAAGAGATCCTGTATATAGAGCAAATATTGTTTTACAAAATGTGTATAAGTGGGAAGATCATCCGGCAGTTCAAGCTTTGAAATTTTGTTTATCTGATCATCAGAATACAAATTATCCTGATATTCATAAAGGCTTAGAAAGAAAAATGAAAGAAGTTCTTTTATATAAGAAGGTAAGTAAAGCTTATTATTTATTCACATTTAATGATTTATATTATTTAAGAATCAACAGTAATACAATTATGAATATGTAATTGTTTTCTGTCAAAAAAATTATTAAAACAAACTTTTTGTTATTAGCAATGAAACACAAGTTATAAATTAAACACATGTATGAAAATTACATTTAAAGTACTTCATAAAGGTATATTTATTTTATCATGAATTTAAACAACATATAAATATCAGTATAATTTACCTTCATAATATAAATCAGAGAATTGAAATTAGACTTTATACTTTTTTTCATTAAAAGACGGTGAGCATACACACTGGATTTATACATATGTATTTCACTAAATAAATTTTAATTCCATGAGACTCTCAGAATAAAATAATCCATCTTAAAAAAAAAAAAAAAATTAAAGCAATCAATTTTTTTTTAAATAAAAATTTTTTGAAGCAATATACTATATTTTGAATTTAAAGTGTTAAATTTAAATTCAAAATTCAAATTTTTTTGGTATGTTTCTTAAATACTTAAATGAGAAGTGAAATGAAATGAAAGATTTTATTTCAATTCTATTAAATTATTTTTAAAAATGTTTTTAAATAGCTTATTGATTTCTAAATCTAGTGAAATAATATTTTCTTTTTAATACATGACTATTTTCTCGTTTGTTTAAATAATTGTATTACACATTCTTTAGATATTTGATGCTTCTGAAATGTTTGGTGATTCTGATGCAAAGGATTGTGTTTATGTCTTCAATAATTGGCAGGAAGTTGCCGATTGTTCCGTGTGGGATCAGTCAAGAATTTTAGATTTTATTAAATCATCAGGAAAATATAATCTTGCTGTTCAGTGGTCAGAATTACATATTATTAATTCAGAGCAAAAAATGGTAAAAGTTTCAGATATGAAAATATTTTTAAAATTTTATATAAATTTGTATTATTTTAATAAATATAATATTATATGTATATATATACATATATATATATACCTACATTATTAATCATGATTACATTTAAAATTGAAAATTTTAGTGTTTTTTTTCTCTTGGTGTTTTTGGTGTTTTTTTTCCTTGTAATTATATATACACAGGTATGCAAAACAAAAGCAATGTTTCAGATTGTTCCATGATTCCGAAAAAAAAATCCATCACACAACATGAAATTCACACTACTGAGGGTCAATGTAACACTTAGAGATTGATAAAAGTATAGTAGTCAAAAAATTGCATTGTATGCATACATTATGGAATAAAGCAGAAAAAGGCTTTATGGACAGAATGACATTAATAAAAAACATTGTTTGCCACAAGGAAAAATAACAATCCAAAGTCCCTTAGTAAGGGATATGATCCTCCCTAAGTACTATGGTTGCCTGATACTATCTGTTTCTATTCAAGACTGACTTGTCTAGCAATTCTTAAAGTAAGATTTTCTATTTTTAAAAGATAATCTGTTTCAGCTGTTTGGTGATCTCTAGAGGATGTGATCTTGCTGCCAGGTGTCTCCCCAAAGTATCCCATACATATTTGTTGGAATTTAAATCAAGAAACACACCATCTAATTCATTCTGCAGATATCCTCAATTTCTAGAAGCTTCTCAACAGCAGAGGTTCTGTGTGGATGTGCAATGTATGGACACAAAAATGTTTGGACCAATAGAATCTTGGAACATACGTGTGTGGGGAGGATCATTTCATTGCAATTATGATCTCCTGTAAGTGAGCAGCTGTCAAAAATATGGAGCTCTATTCATCCATTCAGCATAATGTCTACTCACACAATCCCTTCAAGATTTAGGACCTCCCAGTGGTCTCTTTCTCTGATGTTATTAGGATGAAATCATGTACCTCCATATCAAATGGCATTGAGAATCATTGCTTAGACTGAAATTACCCTCAGCAGTAAAAAGAATGTGACTACATTGATATGTTCAGTCTTTGTGTTCTTGACACTACTGAAACCAGTACTGTAGATGGGCTCTTGTTATTGGTACACAGCATTCAGGACGTTAGACAGGTAAATCACCTTTTGGAAGACATCTGGCTTTAGTAAACCATTGCATATTGCATAAGCAGCTGCTAAGCAATGTTGTTAAATGTTTGGTTTTGGTCTCTTTTCATCTAGAGAACAATAAACTGGTCATCACTTACTGTTGTTTTTCTTGACCAACCACTACTAAACTTAAAGCTGTACCTATCATTTGCAAGGTTTTCCAAGTTTTTGAATCTATATTGATGTAAATCCCAAATTTTTATGCAACTTTTGCCAAACTATGCCTTTTTCAACTTGCTGATCATTTTATAATGTGTAAAGCCATATTGATGGTTTCATGTAGCCATTATGAATATATGACTGATTTCACATTTATTTTTGGGGAATATATGGAAATGCATCTTTTCTCCTTCTTTTTAAGTTGTACTTTTTAAGTTGGCACTGAGTGTATGCATGTTTGCTTGCCATGAAGTCTCCTCTGATGTCATAATGCTAATATTTGCTTATGCATCACCTTTTTACTGAGTTTCTTTTACACTATACTGGTTGCAAAAAATTGAAACATGCATTTGTTGCTTATGTTTTGCTTGTAGTGTACTTAATTTTTATATCTGTGATTGTAGAAATTATGCATACATTTCTATATATATATATATATACATAATCATATTTTATAATTTAAGCATATTTCTATTTTTAAAATATTAGAAGTAAAAAGAAAATATTTTTAGTTTTACAGTTAGTTATTTTTTAACCTTAAATTATTATTTATCTGTTTTCATAATTTGTATGCTCTTTTTTCCTTAGCTTGCATTATCTATGAATATAATATGGTATTTAACACAAGATCCACCCCAGGAACAAGAAGTTTTTGAGGTATTTTTTTCCACTTTTTTTATTACACTTCCAACAATCTTCAAGATATTTTCTGTACTTTTTAGATTAACTGCTTTTGTTATATGTAATTACCTAAATATGTATATTAATTTCTACATTTATTCTTAATGCCAAGATTTTATATTTTCAGTCTAACTATTCATTTATCCTTTTTTATATACAAATTAGATACATTTTTTTTAGATTATTGATTCATTTGAAGATCCATCTGAGTGCATGATGTTATGTGACATGGTTTTACCAGAGCTTCCTACAATTGAATCAAAATTGTATTTAGTGCAATATCTTGTTGATAATAATGTCTCACCCGAGAAGCAGTTTCATTATTTCAACATGGCTCTTGGACTAAAAGTATGTTCAATTAATGTTGCATCATTTTTTTTTCTTCAAGTATTTTTAATATATTTTTAAAATGAAAAACAAAACAAAACAAATGTGTTTCAACGTTTTTAAAAAACATAATTTAAACTTATAATAATTTTGTCTTCTCACTTTCTTCTGACAGTTTTTGAGTGTAGAATAAATATTAGCTGTAATATGCATCCCTATTTACTTTGTGTACTATTGATAAATATTTTTCTTTTGATTATTTTTTTAAAGAACATTTATTCTTTTAGATGTTGTCTGCCCTTAAATCTCCTAATAAAGAACTCTATTCAGATTTAGCTGCACATCCATATATCCTTCTAGAACAAATGCTTATGAATGTAGAAGTGAGTTTGTATTCTTCATTATCTTTTTTGTTCATTTTATCAGTGTATATGATAATGTTAATTATATATAGTTACACATTTCCTGTTAACTAAATTTGATTGTCTCATTAGAAATTGCTGTAAAATCAGGCATATATCGTGCACTTCTAAGACAAAAAAAGGTTGAAATTTAAGGGTGCACATGACATGTCAGGTGTAAAATTGATGGCTTCAAAAGTAAAAAGAGATGAGCATAAAGAAAAATTAA